CATAACTCCTTCCCAGGGACCCCCTGTTCACTCCCCATTGCCTCACCTCAAGGCAACTTGTGTGAGCCTGTCCTTCAGAGAAAACCTCCTGATGGTGTTTCTACAAAGTCTCTGAGTGTTACAGTTTGTGCTTGGCTATTAACCTAAAGGGGGTGTGTGTGTTATTGAAATTTAACCAGTGGTGCTATGGAAGAGAGGGACCCAGCAACCTACTTCCATAAATATTCCCATTAAGCTATTGCCTTCAAGTTGATTCTAATTCACAGTAACCTTACAGGACAGAGCAGAATTACTCTGTAGGGTTTCCAAAGCTGAGTCAAGCGCTTCACCACGGTGCCACCAGAGTCCCTCCAAAAGGATTGATTACCAACCCATCCGAACCCATTGCCATTGAGTCAAATCTAACTCATGACCACCTTCTGTGCTGTTTCCAAAGCTATAAACACACTTATGGGAGGAGAGAGTCCCTCTTTCCCCAGAGGAGCAGCTGGTGGGTTTGAAACACTGACCTTTTGGTTAGCAGCACCCCATGTAACACACGCTGCCACCGTAAAGGTCACAGCTTCCACAGACACGTCCCACAGAGCTGTGCTGCTCTGTGACACACCACGTCGCTGTAAGCTAGAATAGATTCAGTAGCAATGGGTTTGGCTTTGGATTTTTAAAATATTTTTTCGCTGTAATAAACTGAGCTTTCAACAAATATAATTTTCTTTCAGTTATAGTCTGAGACGTAAGAAAAAGCCAACAGAATGTGGGAAACTACCAACAAATAATGACTCATTAAGTGACAGGTTGGTTACTCTTTCTCATATGTGTGTGTGTGTGTGTGTGTGTGTGTGTGTGTGTGTGTGTGTGGTGTGTGTATATACAAGCAAGCCTCTGACATGGAAAGTCTTGAAAGGCAGATACTCTTTGTAGTATACATTTTGCTGCAACATGTTGTTTGCGGCAACTTCTTTCCCCTGTGAGTGGGAAAAGAAATATTTTATGCCTCTGGTGTGGCCCAGGGACTGGCTGTGGCATGTTCTTTGGGTCTCACTCCTTCCCTCAGTTTACCCAAAAGGCAGGTGAAAAAAAGCTGTTTCTCTCCGGCTTTCTGCCTGAAGACTTCAAGTTGAAGGCTCCATGCATGCAAGAAGCACTGCCATTTGCCCTTCCTATACAATCTTAGTGGTGGTTCAATGGCACAATTCTTGCCTGCCGTGCAGGAGATGTGGGCTCAGGTTCAGGCCAACGTGTCTCATGTGCAGCCCCCACTCACTCATCAGTGTCAGCTTACATGTTGCTATCATGAGCAGGTTTTAGTGACACATCCAGTCTAAGGCAGATTAGGAAGACATTTCTGACGATCTACTTATAGAAATCAGTCAGTGAAAAACCCTATGACTCATTCTTCAAATTTGGAGCAAAACTCAGCCCCAGGTCTTTACTTTCAACCAACCAATAGGCCTAAATAGGTCTAAACGGTGACCAGTAACACCAGATAGGCAGTTACTCCTTAGAATAACCAAGCATATAATGTTCACAAAGCAACAATCTCTCCAGAGGTCCCCTTTGGAGAACAAAAGCATTTTCATGGTATTTATGATTAGTGCAAAGATGAAAATCTAAAGGCAGAAAGGGTAGAACAGAAGGATTAATGGAAATGAGAAGTAAAGGAAGGAAGTGGGGGAATGTGTGGATACATTGCAGGTGTAGTAATGTTATAAAACAAGTATTTTTTTGAGTGATTGAATGAAAAAATTATTTTCTTTGTTAATTTACAGGTGCCTTCGTGTCACTCAAAGCAACCCTATGAACAATAGATCTGAATCCTGTCCTATCCTGTGCCATCCTCACAATCTCTGATCCCCTCAAGCCCATTTCTTTAGTTACTGTGTCAGTCCACCTGGTTGAAGGTCTTTTCTTTTGCCCTCCTTCGACTTTTCCCAAGCATGGCAACATACCCAAAGTATGTGAGACAAATCTTTATCATCTTTGTCTCCAAGAAGCACTCTGGTGGCACCTTCTCTAAGACATATTGTTTTGTTCTCTGGGCAGACCATGAGATATACAGTATTCTTCTTCAACATGATGATATACAGTATTCTTCTCCAACATGACAACAGAAAGGCATCAGCTCTTCTTCTGTCATCCTTATTCATTGTCCACCTCCCAAATGCATAGCAAATGACTGGAAAGACCTGAGTCATGCATGCCTTAGTCCTCAAAACGGCATCATTGCCCCTCAATAATTTGGAAGGGTCCCTGCCTGCAGAATTTCCCAGTGCAACACATCTCCTGATAAACTGACTGCCAGTATCAAGTGTATTTACTGACTGTGGATCCAAGTAAGACGAAGTTGTTAGCAGTTTCAGTCCTTTCTCCATCTATCATGATGTTGCCTAATGATTCACCATGGGTGAGTAGAAAAGTCAGCTTTACCCAAAGTGTTCTGGAAGGGTGTGTGCATTTAACTGTTTTCCTACACATACCTGTGAAATGTGAGACCATTTACCTGGGCTTCAGAATCTCTTTATATATATAAAGAGATACATCTCTTTAATTAAAATCACTCATTTACTTTCCCCTGGCCCCAAATTCCACTTGTTAGGAACAACTGGGAGAAAGGGTGCCTCTGTGCAGCAAATCCCTTCTGTCTCTTCAAAAGACCCTCCTCAACAATGACTGTTTTCCTAAGTTATAAAACAGCATGGTGCAGAGTAAACTCTTCCTTCAGGCCACAGTTACATAGACACCTCCCCCACCCCCACCGTCCTGATCTGAGCAGCCACCTCTTGTTTCTGAAGCACAGCCACCTTGATAATTCTTTAAATGTGGCAGGAAATCCTGGGAGTGGGGCAAAAAACCGTCCTTTTTTTCATGTGTGAGAGAAAAACAGAAGTAGGCCTATCAAGAGGTCACCTGCCTACGATTTTGCTCCAGGCAGGTTTGCATTTGAACTATCTAAGAGATGGTCATGTTTCTATTTTTAAAGATAGAGATTCTAGAGTTTAATTATCCTTAAAGCCAACTTCCACCAGACATCTGCCCCCATCCCACCCCTGGCCCATACTGTAATTTAAACTGGCTTCCTCCTGGTGGCCCCTGGTGATGCAGGGGTTGATAAGTGTGGCCATTAACCAGAAGACTGGCAGTTTAGAGTCCACTCAGAGGTGAGTGGGAAGAAAGGCCTGGCCCCCTGCTTCAGAAAAGGCAGCCCCTGAAAACCCTGTGCAGCGCTGGTCTACTTTAACACATAAGGGATTGCTGGGTTGGAAGTAACTCAAAGGCAACTGCTTGGGGTTTTGTTTTGTTTTTTTCTGTTTTGTTTCCCTGTCTCTTCTTGTTGGTTTTCCTTTGGCTAACAGAAGCAGAGGTTTGGTATTCATGTTTAATGCAAGCTCACTGTTAGGTTTTAGTTTGCCATTCCCACTTTAGAAATCTACTACGTATGCATGGTGCTTCCTGGGGTTTGGTAAAATTGTGTGCTCCTGTGCTGATGGTCTGATTTACACACACAGGGAATCTGGGGGGTGTTAACGTGGGTCCAAGTCCCAGTGGGTGGGAGTTGAGGGAGTCAAGGAGCATGGCCATTGTGTGTGGAGGGGGTTGGGGAACAAGGACAGGTCCAGGAGTGGGACAGCATGTCCTGAGTGTGGGAGGAAGGGTTGCCTGGTGGGTGTGACTTGGTCCCTGGGCCACTGGGAATGCTGAGCTGACACCAGCAGACGTTTCCAGAGGCGGACAAGATGCTATGAGGCTTATGGCTGGGAAAAGCTGCTTCAAACTGCTACGACAGCTCCAGAGCGCTTCCCTAGAGCCCACACAGGCACCACCTGAGAAGGTTCTCTGGAGGAGACAAGCTACCGAGGGGTAGACAAGGCGATCTGTTACGGACTATCAACATTTCCTGACAGTTCATTCTCTGTACCAGGCACAAAGCACTGTTTCATTTAACCTCATAAAGAAGCTTTTGCGATAAGCCCCATTTTGCAGATGAGGAAACGGAGGCTTAGAGAAACTCTGTTAGCTTGCTTAAGGCTTAAATACCTAAATCAGAACTCTGCTTGACTCCAGGCTTTTACAACCTGTGCCTGACCTCTCCCCTCCAGTCAGAAGCCCTGGATTTCAATCTCTTTTACCTCAGAAAAGAGGATACTACTTTTGTACCAAGGGCCTGATGCCGTTTGGACACAAGCAGATGCCGTTTGGACACAAGCAGATGCCAGGTGGGGGCTGGAGCCTGCTCCACAGACCCAAAACTGTAACCCAGACTCAGATCCCTGGGATGGGTGTGGTTCTGGAAGAGTGTTACTCCTGTGTTTACTTAAAGATAGTCATTAAGTCACTGTGAAGACATCTTTTTTGCAGACTAAACAACCCCACTCCTTTTTTTTTAAAAGCTTTCCTCACAGGAGCTGTTGGGGTTTTTTTTTGGTACCAACATTCTATATTTACTGGGTTTCCCCCACCCCAAGCACTCTTCTATCCTCCTACTCTCTATTTTAAACCATCTTGCAGTGCAGTTCTGATTCACCAAAGGAAAAAGGTCATTTCCATAGTTTTCATCTCAATACCTTAACAAAATTAATAAAAGGCCAGTCATATGTGGTCTCCTATAAAACCCAGTTCTTCATTTTTGGCCACCTAAGTGCCTGGCCAGGCTTCTTTTGGCCACTGTTTGTTTCTGATCTTGTTGAACTTCACACGACGACATTAGAGGCTAGGCCTCTGTCTGCTGCAGACCTGAAATGTTCTAACACACTCTTGGGTCAGCCTGACTCCTTTCTGTCTCCTGGGAGATGCTTCCAGAAGAGCTCAGTAACCAGAGGTCACCTTTGAGGAGTGAGAGTATCAACAGTGAAACTCCTTCTCTTTGAAGAGGCCTGGCATCCCCTTGGGCTGAGGTTTGAATCTCATCTGAGGCAATGTAAGGGAGTCCCAGGATTCTGAGACACGGTGCCTGAGTGGATACACCAGCCTGGGAGGTACACTGGCTCCATGGGCTTACTTACTTCGAGGTTCCCTGGGTCCATCTACGGTGATTTTGATTGCTCTGTGGTAGGTGGCGACTTGCGGTGGGTTTGTGAAGACAGTGATGGTCAGAGTGAAGCTTTTCCCTATGAGAACACACAAAAAAATGAGACAGTGTGAATACATCTTATATGACTAGTCATTAATTTCTACTTTACCCCTGTCCCCAAGCTAGAAAAGTGATGGTGACTCAGCACAAGTGACCAGTTTGCTAATCTTGCTGTGATCGCCTTTGCTTAAACTCTGGTATTTGTCTTGCTATCACAGCTTGAATAGCTCAAGTGGTTTTCAATCAGTTCCCAATACTAAAAGTTGATGGTTCAACACTCCAATCTCCAGAGGCTCTGTGGGAGAAGATCCTGGTGAGGGGCTTCTACAAGGATCACAGCAGAAAAATGCAAATTCCCCACATAGGAATTGATTCAATGGCAGTGGGCTTTTGGTTTGCCCTGGAGAACCTCAGAAGAGGAGAAAGCTAAAGAACTCGCTACTAGCCAAAAAAGTTAGGGGTTCAAGTCCACCCAGAGGCATCTTGAAGGAAAATCAGTTCTGAAAAGCCTCCCTTGTCCAGGGCAGCTGAGTGAACAGCACCCCACCATCTCCAAACACCCAAACCCTGGTGGTGGTGTAGTGGGGTCTTCCATATTGTACACATATTCTGAGACAAGCTGGGGGCACATGAAAGGCTGTAAACAGTGGAGCTGTGGTGGGGGATGAAGAAAAGGGGTCTGATGCCACAGGCAAACACAGCCTCCAGCCCTTTGCATAATGCCCTTGTCTTTGACACTCAACTATGTTGGTAAGTAAGGAGTAATTGTATAGTCATTCTCCCAATTCCTAAGGATAATTCAACGGTTAAGTGCTTGGCTACTAACTTAAATGTTGGCTGTTTGTATCTACCCCAGCGTGCCTTGACATAAAAGCCTAGCAATTAAAATAATCAAAGGAACAGCCCCACCTCCCGCCATGCCAAAATCACACTCATTGCAGCTGAGTCACAACCAATTCACAGCTGACCCTCCGGCGGGTTTCCGAGGCTATAAATGACTCAAGAAGAGATTGTCCATCTTCCTCCAGAGGAGATACTGTGGATCTGAACTGCTGGAGAGGTTTGGCCTCTGAGTTAACAGTGCAGCTCCCTACAAACCACGCCACCAGTCACGGAAAAGGCCATACAGCACAAAGCTACTCTTAGCCCACTGGGTCACACTAACATGAGACTGCCTGAGCAGCAACTGGCATGTTCGTTTATAAGGTGAACGGTGGTTCACTGGCAGAATTCTTCTCTTTTTTTTGCAGGAGTCCCAGGTTCAATTCCTGGCCTATGCTTCTCATGAGTAGCCGCCACTTGTCAGTGGAAGCATGATTGTTGCTCTGATGCTAAATCAATTTCAGTGGAGCTTCTGCATGAACAAGAAAGGCCTGAAGAGCAGCTTCCAAAAAGCAGTCCATGAAAACCTGACAAACCACAGCAGTGAGATGGGTAACCAATCATGGGCTAGTGTAGGCCTTGGCAGCATTTTGCTCCAGTATACACAAAGTCACCTTGAGTCAAGGCCTGCCTTGACAGAAGCAAACAGCAACAAAAGAGAGTGTGTGTGTATGTGTGTATGTACATATGTGTGCACAGGATCTCTAAAAAGATACACAAAAACGAGTCGTGATAGCTTTGGGAATATATATAGGAAGAGGAGCAAATGAGACTTTTATTTTTGATACATTTTGAAATAGTACTAGACTTATTACCTATTGAAAACCAAATAACTTCTTTACAACAAAAGACTCCACAAAACCACAAAGTTAAACAAGCAGCTTCAGCTTAGTTTTCCCTTTTTAAGTCTAGGGCAAGAAAAAGTAAAATGAGAAATCATGACCGTGTTTCCCCTGTAATTTTATAGCCCTGAGGACCAGAAAAGTTAGGATTTCTAAATTTGAAGACAGGCTAAATTAGAGCTATTTTTTCTGTAGTTTTAAAAAACTAATTGCTGGTTGATTAAAAATATTAGTTGATCTAAGCTATTAGTGTGTGTGTGTGCATGCATGCAGATATATTATTGGAGATACTCAATGAGATTTTCCAGAACAAAGTTTATAGTCAAAATGAGGACATAAAACCAACTAACAAACCAGTTTTCATCAAGTTGATTATGACTCAAAATGACCACCAGTCTCATGAAATAAGCACCATCGCTCGTATTACCCTTGACTAACAGGTAGAAGTAATAAAGCTCAGAGAAGTTATGTGATTTGTCTGAAGTCTCCCAGCTCACAGACACAGCAGAAACCAGGCATTCCAGTTTAACACCCTTTACTGTTTTCCACATTATTGCCACCAAAGTCATAAACCCCTACCTGTAAAGTCCATGGGCCAGGACCAGGAATCCTTACTAATAGTGCTTTATCCAAACTCCACTGCTGCCCAAGAAAGTGAAAATATTTCCAGTGACTCTAATGTACACAAACTGCTACTCGACAGTTAACAGCAAATTTGAGTTAAAGTTCAAAAGTGGTTTCTCAGTGAATTGAATTTGGGCTCCAGGCAGTCAAGAGCTTAATGACCTCCCTTTGGTTAACCACAGTCTGGCCTATTTGATCAGGAATTAAATTCAACCAATGTGAGTATTTGTTAAATTGTGCTCATAATTAATAATCCTATTACTTTATGCTTATCATTTTATGTTCATTGACAAGATATTTCCATCTGGCAAAAGCAACCAAGACGTGGTCATTTAGCCATAGCAGTGGTTGTTTGGTTGTGGAATGCTCCACACTGAAGACCTGGGTTCAATTCCCAGCTGGCGCACCTTGTGTGTGGCCACCATACATCTCTCAGTGGAGGCACGTACGTTGCTATGAGGCTAAGCGGATTTAGGATGAAGATAAAGGAAGAAAGACCTGGTGATCAGCTTCTGAAATCTCATTTAGTGAAAACCCAGTGGATCACAGGAATCGGATCTGTGACCAGTTATAGGATGGTGCAGGCCCTGGCAGGGTTTATTTCCATTGCACGTGGGGTCTCCAAGAGTTGAAAACTCACTGGACAGCTGCTAACAATGACAACATGGCTGCTTATAAAGTCGAGATATTCTGATAGTTGTTTTAACAATGGACGCTTGTTTATTGCTTATAGTCAAGGATGTCAATTTATTACCTTATTACCTTACAGATGAGGGGTGACTCTTTCCTCACAAAAATATATTTAAAAAACAAAACAAAAATACTACATCCCCGCAACATGAAAACTCTGCCTCAGTTCTTTTTACTCTTCCCATCAGAACTAGCCCCATCCTCAAATACAGGGTGCCCAGCACACACACCTCACGGCGCCGAGGACCCTGTTCCAGGTCTCCCCTGGCCCCTCCCTGCCGAGACAGGGCCGTCCCAGCCGCACACTCAGAAGTGGTGCCTGCTCCCTGGAGCCCTCATGTTATTAGCAAGCTTCCCTCATTAAAATGACCTGTGGGCTTGGAATTTGAAGTGTGTGGGTGTGGAGAGTGAAAGACTCTGAAGTGTTTTTCTCAGGAAGCTGTAGCTGGAATAGTAAGGCAGCAGCGAGGAGAAACACGAAAGGGCAGATGGACTAAATGACCGAAACCCCCAACGCAACATTGCAATGTCAATGTTGCTGGCATGACTTGTGGAGACCTCGTGTGTGTCACAGAAGAACTGCTCCAGGAGGTTTTCTTGGCTGTGAACTTTACGGTGGAGCCCTAGTTGTGCAATTGTGAAGCACTTGGCTGAACTAAAAGGCTGGTGGTTTGCATTCACTAGCTGCTCCATGCGCAAATGGAGAGGCAGTCTGCTCTTGTGAAGATTTACAGCCCTGGAATTCCTATAAACAGTTCTACTCTGCCCTGTGGGGTCTCTTAGAATCAGAAGCAACTGGATAAAACTAAGTTTGGTTTGATTATTTATATTTCACCTGATCTTTCTTCCTTCCAATCTTTAAATGAGTCAAGCATAAACCATTTGTCCCACTCTGGAATCCAGTAAATCCGACTCCCACCCCTCCCATATCAGCTTTTCAGTATCTGGTGCAGAGGTGTGAGGCCTGGACTAATGGAGAGAGAATCCAGGCTCATGCTTTAGCCTAAAGGGGTTCCTGCATTGATAAGCTTATCATTTCTGACCATGGGCTGGATTCCAGGAGGAATCAGGGGTGCAAACACTGTTTGAGAAAATGGAACAAAATGACAGGAAACAGAAGGTTTGATTTGACTTTAACAACAAAAGGCAAGAACTCAATTATAAAAGTTCATCAGAGTACAAGTACTGATAGTGAACGTTCATGCTGAATTTCTCAGGTTCAAGTCTCCACTCTGTCACTTGCTAGCTGTGATTCTCTGGGCAAGCTACTCAATCTCTCTGACTCTCAGTTTTGTTATTTGCAAAATGGGACTAGCCACAGTCCTTCTTTTGCTGGCTGTTTTTGTTGCTATGTGCCATCAAGTCACTTGCAACTCATAGCAACTCTATGTATAACAGCCCTAAACCCTGCTCTATCTGTGCCAATCACACTGCCTCTGACATAACTACCAACATTACCCCGGTCACTGAATCAACTCACCCACATCAGGATCTTCTTCTCCTGCACTGTCCATCCACCGTCCCAAGCATGACATACCTCTCCTAGGACTGGTCCCTCCTTGCAACAAGCCCAAAGTATATCAGACAAAACTTTTGAATCCATGCCTCCAAGAAGCAGCCTGGTCGCACCCTCTCTAAGATGAACCTTTTTGTTCTCCTAGTGGTCCATGATATATCCAATACTCTTCTCCAGCACCATAGCTCAAAGGCATCAATTCTCCTTCTATCATCCCTAGTCATTGTCCAGCATTAGGGCTGGTAAAGATGATAAATAAAATGAATGTGAAAGCAATTGCATTAAAGTTATTTGCAATGTTAAAGATATGCTTCCTTCCATAAAGACCCAGAATGATGATTCTACACGGAGGAGCTGGGGATGGAGTGGCTGTTGACATGTGAGGCTGTGAGCAGGGCATGGGTGGGTGCTGAAGACCCCTTGACTGAAAGAACTCTAGCAAAGCAAGGAGGTGGCAATGCATAGGACAGCAAGGTGGTCCGT